ACTGCCCCCACCACCCCCACCTCCGGGCCCTGAGGGAGCTGGCCTCTGGGGACCGATGGTGATCTGGGGAGGGGATAGCATGTGCTGCAGGTTGTCCTGAAGTGAGAGCTGCCGACGGGTGAAATCAGTGCCAGAGGGTCCAAATTCATCACTGTAGCTGTGGCTGTGAAGGATGGAGGCAGCAGGGGGCTTAGGGACCCCTGAGGAGAGGTCCTCGCTCTTGCTATAGCCATGGAATGGGGCGAAGGTGTCCCCTGGGGGCTCTCCACCTCGGTGGTGGTGATGATGATGGTGGTGGTGATGGGAAGAAGGTGGGCCATGGCCACTGCCTCCTCCATGACCCCCCGGGGGCCCTGGGCCATCAGCAGCCATGTGGAAGAGAGGGTTCTGGAAGGAAAGGGGGATGCGCAGTTGCTGGGCAGGAACACCGTCCGTGGTAACACCCATCTGGCTGAGGCGCATGCCAGCTGCTGTGATAGATGAGCCACTCCCTTGGGAGAGGCGCCCGGCAGGTGCAGGCCGCAGCCCCAAGGCCGCTGTCAGTGAGGCCTGGCTTGAGTGCAGCAGGTCCCCAACAGCTGCCAGGTTGGAAACACTACTACTGTTAAGGCGGCCCCCAGGCCCATCGCCCTGCAGGTCCAGCATGGACACGCTCTTGTTAACACTCAGCATCTTCTGCTCTGGCTCCGTGATGTCTGAGCTGCTCGTGCAGTATGCTGGGGATGACCGGGCCAGTGGTGGCCGGCTCACATAGAACAGGTCTTTACCCCCGCTAGGTGGTGGTGGGGGCGGCTTTTCCTTGGTTGGGGAGGGGAGGCGAGCCATGTCCATAGAGCTGTTGGAAGGGAAGGAGGACACCAGCAGAAGGTAAGGCCAGGACTCCTGGCACCTAGACTACAGTGGTCTGGTACTGGCTTAGGTGAAAAGTGGGACCCACAGGGAAGGGCTGAGAGCTGGCAGTGGCAGCCCTGTAGAGGCAGGCAGGAGGCTGGGAGGGGAAACTAAGGCAGGAAAAGGACAAAGTCCCTGAAAGAAGGGGTAAGGCCTGGAGAAGAAGGTGAGGGCCAGTCTGGGCGGGTATGGAGAAGATGAGGTGCACTGGAGAGGAGTAGGGCAAAGGTCAGCGAAGCAGCAGAGGAGGGTGGGCAGGAGAGCCCCTCACCTGTTGAGGCCTCGAGCCATGAAGGACTGAAGGTCGATGGAGCTGGAGAGAGATGTAAAGAGGGCGAGCACAGACGAGAGGAGAGTGGACAGATGGAAGGAGCAATGGGATTAGGGGATGGATGGGTGTGGGGTCATGGAGGGGACATGGGTGGAGGAACGAACAGCAGGGTGAGCACAAAATGAGGGACAGCAGCTGAGGCCCAGCCTCCCCCAACCCCCATCAGATGAAATGCTAGGCTCCTGAGCAGGCTCCAGGGCCCACCCAGCTCTAGCTGCTGCTTCTCTGAGTGCTGGATCTGATGTTCTAGTGGGGAGCTGGGGAATTTGTCAGGTCATTCAGAGACACCTGATTATTTTGATACCGCATGGTAGAACTTCAGCCCAGAGCCAAGCATGGGCAGGTGGAGGGAAAAAGCAAGTCAGAGCTAGAGCAGGATCTCTTTGGCTTCCACCGAACTGGGAGCAGAGGACCCTCAGTGTTTCTGGGCTCTGCGTTTCCTATTCCCTCTGGCTCTGAAGGGCTCTCAGCCTCCCACTGCCTGTACCCTTACCATTATCTCTAAGAACTTGTAGCTGTACCCATTCAAGGCCTAAAGAGATGCATGGAGGGCCCAAGTAAGATGGATCCAAGAGGGATCAGCTCCCAGGGCACAGGTGGGGGTGCAGGGTGCTCACCTGTTGAGGTCCCGCATCATGTAGCCCTGCATCTCGGCTGATGGCCCCCGAAGCACCACGGGCTGAGGCCGAGGCCGCTCGCTCTGACGGCTCGGCTGCCTTTGGATGTTGGGGTTCCTCAGGGCTGTGCTGATGTCATTGAGGAGCCGGGGCAGTGGGCCCAGCTTCAGGAGAGCTTCCTGGAAAGACAAAGCTGTTACTTGGGGAATGAATGCCCAGTTCCAAAGGGACCTCAGAGGGCACCGGTGGAAGGTGTGTGAAGCAGGATGGTGGTAGGGGCCTGTCTGGGAACAGGAAGAGGAGAAAACTCAGTGCAAGGAGGTAGTTTCTCTGGGCCAGGTGCCTCTGGAAGTACCCAGGGATGGGCTCAGTAGACATCTACTAACCTTGCTGAGCTGGGGCAGCACCTCCCAGAGCAGGGCATGGAGTGTGGAGAGCTCTCGGCCCAAGTCAATGTAGCCCTCAAAGCTACTGCTGTTGGTTAGGGTGTCCAGGTTGGAGATCTCGTACAGGAACTGTTGCATGGAACCCCACTCCAGCTCTAGAAACTCATTCATGAAGCCCAGAAAGTCCTCCTTTGAGGTAAACCTGGCCAAGGGGTGCAGAAGTCTCTGGTGACTCAGGAGAGCCCTTAGAAGCCCCACAGCTCACCCCACCCTGCCTGAAGCTTCCCTCACTTGGAAAAGTTGGCCAGGTTCTGGATGACCTTGGCGATAAGGGTGAGGGTTCGTGAGGTCTGCTCATCTGGGTACTCCTGCATGAGCCCAAACAGACTGGGCGACATAATGGCTGGACAGAGGAAGCGCAGGAAGAGCGAGGCGCTGATCAGCCTGTCTGCGATGTCCTCCCGGCCCCGCTCTGCGCAGCGCAGCCTCCAAGACGCAAACACCTCTTTCAGCTCCCTCGGGAACACGCTGGGGGAAAGGGGTGGGGAGACAGAGAGAGAGAGAGAGAAAGAGAGACCGGGACTGAGCCCCAGAGACCCTCAGCTTCCAGGGAACATGCTGAGGGGGTGGCAGGGGGTGAGGGTGTGGAGACAGGCAAGAGAGACAGGGAGGGGGGTACTGCAGGAAAGAGACAGGAGGCTGCTGAAGAGGGCCATGGTAGAGGGAACAGATTCTGGAGAGAGAAATGGAGGGGGAGCAAAGGTGAGGGGAGAGAGACACGTGGGAGAGAGACGGAGGGTTGTGTGAGAGAGACAAGGAGAGGAGGAGAAGAAAAACAGACACCAGGGAGAGACAGAGATGGGAGAGAGATGGAGGGTCACTTGAGGTACAGGGAGCTCGGACCCCCCAACTCTTCTGGATTCCAGGGAAATGGGGATGGACGTGCCCCAGGCATGATCCCCAGTCCCTGGAATGGCTCAGTTCACTCTTCCCCGCCTCCCAGTGCCACTTCAATGTCCCACTGACACCTTAAACTTGACTAGTGTAAAACGGAGCTCACCATCGCCCCCACACCTCCAACTGGCTCCTCCTCCTGACTTCCCTGGTTCTGTCAATGAGGTCACCAGCCTCCCAGCCACCAGCCTCATGGCCTCTTGAGTCATCCTGACTCCCTCCTTCCCAACCAGCTGATAATCCCTGCTGATCCTTCCCTGAGAGAGCCCTTACAACAGTGCCTTCCTAGGTTTCCCGACCACATCCTGATTCATGGTCTGGTTTTCATGCCTGACCCATTAACCACAGCCATCAACAGTTTGGACCTCTTTCTCCTGCTCCACTCACAGCCCACCCCCATGGCCCACTGGGTCAGTCTCAATGCCAACACCTTTAACAGTACCCCGTGACATGCTGATGAACTCAACCTCCTGAACCCAAGGCCTTCCAGATTCTCACTCTAATCCCCCTATGTACACCTCTCTCCTGTCACCTCCATTATACCCTATGTGCTTCACTAAGCCTGTTCCAGCTGCTATCCATTCCCTGAAGGTTCCTGAACCTTCCCTCTCACCTCACATACATGCTGTCCCACAGCCTTGGAAAACGTTATCTTGTCTACTGTGCAAACGCCAGTCCCTTGGCCCAGTCTTCAAAGCCCAGCCCTGGGCACCTCTTCCTTGCCTCTCTCAATTATGGCCTCCTCTCCTCTGACTTGATACTGCACAGGGGACCCTCTCTCAACACATACAACAGTTCTGTGCTCTCTGCGCATGTCATTTGTCCCTACCAACCCAGGGACCAGGCCCTATTCACCCGTCTGCTCTACAACACCCCAGAAAATGCTTTGCCCATACTGATGTTCAGTCCTCTTTGAGGATGGACAGATGGATGAACAGATGAACACACAACTGCCCAACCCTGGTCCCCAGCCCAGCGTTCCCAGTCTCACCAATGGGAGTTGACCACCTTGCACAGGGCCAACTCACAGCACATTCGCAGGTTGGCTTGGTGCTCTGCCAGACTGGATGCCGTGCACTTGATAGGGTCTACTTCGCAGTTCTCCTCAGATTCATACAGAGCACGGATGAACTCCCCTAGGGGAGGGGGGCACAATGGAGTGGTTACACTTCCCAAGGGCAGGGGCAGGGGCTCCCCAGGTTGCATGAATGGCAGAATCAGACAGTTGGGAGGCCAGGGTCCTAGGACCCTGAGGAAGGACGGATGTGGGGGAGGTTTAAGGGTAGCCTGGATGTAGCCAGGTTTAAGGGTAGGGAGGTGGGTATGGGGAGGGTTAGGAAGAAGGCCTGAAGCTAAGCCATACCAATGGCATCCTTGAGGTATTTCTGACCAATCAATCTCATGTACTCCTCTATGGCTTTGGTGGCGAGCGTGTTCTCGCGGAAAATGAGGTGTTCCCGTTCCATGAAACGGTCTACCTCTGACATGGCCATGTCTGAAAGGAAGTCCTGGGGCCCAGGAAAATCCAAGGGTTAGCCTCTGCGGAGCCCAGCCTCATGAATTTGATCTCCCCAAGCCAGTGCCCATCCCAAGCCACCTTTCCCTGGGAGCCTAATACTCACCTTGGCTTTGCCCGTGCTCTGCAGGATGTGAACCAGCGCACTGGCAACCTCTTCCTTGCCCTTGACGTTCAGGGCGGGTTCTAGCACTGCACACAGCATCCGATAATGATTGGTGACGTACTCTGCAAACTCTTTATACAGCTCCATGGGCAGGATGCTCATCGTCTGGTACCGTGCCTTCAGTCGCACCGCAGGGCAACCTCCTTTTCCCTTGCCCCCTGAGCCACCCCCTGAACCCCCTCCCCCTCCCGAGCCCATGCCCCCAGATCCCCCACTGCCTGTAGGTAAGGTCACAGGGTACCACTGCTCTGTGAAGTGCCGCCCAGCCAGGGCAGCCACTGGTACAGTCACCAGGCCAACATAGCCGGCCTTATCCTTCTTGCGTTTTTTGTCTGAGTCACGGTACAGATGCAGCCGCAGGGCCCGGACAGCCGGTAGGTTGTTAAACTCGAAGTGCTCACCCCAGAAGACAGTGTCCCCTGAAGCTGAGCGGGGCTTGGAGGTGGTGCGCGCATACAGCATGTCGTCCAGGCACAGTTCGCAGTAGTATCGCTTCTTGGGGGGCAGCTCTCGGGCCTCTATGATCCATAGCTTTAGCACGTTATCTACGCGGCGGCTGTTGTCCTACATGGCATGAGCAGGTGGTCATGGTGGATAAGGGGAAGAGACAGACACACCGAAGAGGAGACAGTGAGCGAATGGGATGGAAGAGGCAGTCCAAAGGCCAAGAAGCACACCAGGTTGACAGGCGTGTACACAGGGCTGATAGGCGTGTATACCACCAGGGTTGACTGGTGTGTACACGGTATTGACAGGTATGTACACTGGGTTGACTGGTGTGTACACAGGACTGACGGGTGTACACTGGGTTGACAGGTGTGCACACCAGGATGACTGGTGTATACACCGGGTTGACAGGCATGTACACCGAGTTGACAAGCATGCACATCGGGTTAACAAGTGTGCACACCAGGATGACTGGCGTGAACACTGGGTTGACAGGCATGCACACTGGGTTGACAGGCATGTACACCGGGTTGACAGGCATGCACACCAGGTTGACAGGTGTGTGTACCAGGTTGACATGTGTGCACACTGGGCTGACAGGTGCCCACCACACCCACAGTTCTTGCTTTGTCCTTTTTTGTTTTTGAGGTAGTGGAAGTCTCACTCTGTGGCCCAGGCCAGCCTTAAACTGGCACATATCTGAATGGTGGGATTGCAGGCGTGCCCCAGTATATCCAGGAGGACCCCCAAACTACTCTCCAGAACCTGTGAATGTGACATCATTTGGAAATAGGGTCCTGGCAGGTGTAGTAAATTCAGATGGGAGTATACTGGATTAGTATGGCCCTTAATCCAATGATCAGGGTCTTCTTCATATGGAGAGGAACATTCAGAGACACACAGAAGGACACTGGACATGTAAAGATGAAGCGAAAACCCAGACAGACAGGTGACAAGCCAGGGATCACTGACAAGCTCTGACAACATGGAGCTGCACAGTAAACGCGCTTTTCCTCACACCATGTCTCTGGACTTCTGGCCTCCTCCACTGTGAGAGAACGACTTTCCATTGCTTCAGCTGGCCCAGTTTGTTATTTATTTACTTATTTTTGTGACAGTGTCTCCCTGTAGCCCCAGCTGTCCTGGAACTCACTACTATGTAAACCAAACTGGCCTCAATCTCACAGAGATCCACCTGCCTCTGCCTCCCTGAGTGCTGGGATCAAAGGTGTGCACCACCACACCCAGCTGTGATTTTTTTTTTTTTTTGGTCTTTTTGTGACAGTGTCTCCCTGTAGCCCCAGCTGTCCTGGAACTCACTACTATGTAAACCAAACTGGCCTCAATCTCACAGAGATCCACCTGCCTCTGCCTCCCTGAGTGCTGGGATCAAAGGTGTGCACCACCACACCCAGCTGTGATTTTTTTTTTTAATAGAAGAACTGGGAAGCTAACACAGAAGGGCAGCTTACACACTAAACAACAGACTTAGTTCACTGAAAAGCCTAGGGTAACAAACCAAAACCATTGCGGGGGTCAATATGGCACAGAGGGTAAAGGTACTTGCTGCCAAGACTAACAACCTGAGTTTGATCCGAGGACCCACACGGTGGAAAGAGAGAACCAACTCCCACAAGTTGTCCTCTGACCTCCATACATGCAACCTGCCCCCACCATATATAAACAAATAAACGTGCTGGGCATGGTGGCACAAGCCTTTATTCCCCAAACTGGGGAGGCAGAGGCAGGCGGATTCTATGAGTTTGGGGCCAGCCAGGGCTACACTTTGAGACCCTGCCTCAGAAACAATGACAATAGAAGCCCCAAATAGATAAATGTAAATTTTGTTATTCATTGAGGAGGAACTGGTAGAGAGAATGAGAGCCCTGCGGAGGCAATCAGGAACTGCAAAATGACAGACCAATAGCTGCAGCAGCTCAGAGGGGTCAGAGTGGCACTTCCTGTGTTAAAAGCACCATGGGGTCTGGACCCTGTGTAAGTCACATCAGGTCTAGCATCTTAGATGAACTTCCTTAAAGAGGACACTGAGAAGCAAGAAGAGGGTGAGCTAGACAGAGCCTGCTTGAATGGAATGCAGGACTAGCTGACAGGAGGGGCAGCAGAAGCCTTGGGAGGAACACAGACATATAAAACATCTGTGCAAGGAGACCTTGAGGTCCCCTAATCCAGCCATATTTGCACAGACTTTATAGACAGAACCCAGGTACACACAGCACAGTAAGTGGGGCTGGGTAATGACCCAGCAGGTGTTACTGAGGCCTTCTTGCCTGTGGGGAAGCTGGACCAGAGGACTTCCAGAGCCCCATCAGCTCTCTAGGACTATGGCTTTTAAGATCATGACGTTAGGTAGCAGTAAGATGCAGAAAAAAATGGGGGGGGGGGTTAGAATAATGGGGGTTGCCCCTGCTTGTCCAGGTCTCCTACACCCCCGTCTCCTCCTCTAACTTGCTCAGTACCCAGCCTCCCTAGTGGCCCATCCTTTGCCCTGCTCAGGCTTCTGTTCCCCTTACTCCCCAATACCTTGTTAGGTTTTACGGCCCGTTGTAGATTCTCTATCCATTTGTCCCTTTCGGCTGCAGATCGACAGGCAAAGCATTTTGTTCCAGATGATGTCGTTACCTACAAAGGAGTGTGGATTTGAGGGATGGGCTCCACAGGGAGGTAACTCCTAAGGACTGGAGACCCGCCACCATCTCTTCCTTCCTGGTCCCAGAGGTTTGTTTTGTTTCCACCTATGCCACTCTGCCCCTACCTCTACCATCCTCCCTGCCCTCTGGCCCTCCTCAGCCATGGCAGCCACTACCTCAAAGCAGAACTCCTGGCCCAGGATAGAGCTGTGCACTGGCTTGATAATGGAATCTTCATCCAAGTTGAGCTCCAAGGCCTCAGCAGCACTGCTGGGACTCAGCAAGGACTCATGGGAGTGCGACTCCTTAAAGCTTTGCATCAGCCGGGCCCTGGAAGGGAAGAGGTTCAGAGAAAGGATCAGGGAAGCCCCTCTGCCGAATCAGCAGCACCTCTAGAACGAATCAGCGCCTCTAGAAAGCAGACTTGGAAAGAAGGCTTCCTGAATCTACCACACAAGACTCAGAAGGAAACCCAGTCTCCCTTGGGGATGGACATAGGAGATGCAGGAGGAACCAAAACACTGCAAGAAACTCCTCTGCCCCCACTCCTACCCAAGGAGTAGGACACCTTGAAATAACTCAGAAATTGAGAGGCATGGTGGCACAGGCTTTTAATCCCAGCACTCAGGAGGCAGAGGCAGGGGGACCTCTATGAGTTTGAGGCCAGCCTGGTCTGCATAGCAAGTTCCAGGACAGCCAGGGCTACATAGTGAGACCCTGCTGAAAAAAAAAAAAAAAAAAACAAATAGTGGTGAGTAAATGAGCTATCAAAAAGTAAAGAGTAAGGGGCTGCAGAGCTGGCTCAGTGGTTAAAAGCATTGGCTGCTCTTGCAGAGGACCTGGGTTCAACTCCCAGCACACACATGGTGGCTAACAACCATTCCTAACTCAAGTTCCAGGGGATCCGATGACCTCTTCTGACCTCTGTGGACATTGCATGACACAGGTGTACTTATATAAATGCAGGCAATACACTCATTCACGCACACGCCTAAATAAAGGCCCCAGCATAGAAAAAAAAAAAAAAAGCCCCCAAATGGGCCTGGACGTGTCTAGGTCTAGGTGACACCAGAAACCAGAGTCTCAATATAAGGAAAAGATGGAAGCAAAAACTGGGACACAGAGAAGATACAGCATTGTCTAGTCTGCACCTGGCACACAGCTAGTGCCTAATAAACATTTCATGATTCAAACTATGAATGAAGAGGACAATTTTTAGCACAACCAGGGGAATGAGAGAGAAATGCCTAAGAGAAAGCTGTGGGCAGAAAGGAGGAGAATGAAGGTCAGACAGGAGGGGGCCGGGGATGAAGAAGGTGAAGAGCAAAGGCAGGTGCAAGGCAGGATGAGCCAGGCTGGGGGAGGAGGGCGAGGAGGATGCAGCACTGCAGAGGGAAGGAGCTCAACATAAATGGGGTTGAGGGCCCCAAGTGGGAGGAGACAGGACAGCAAGTAGTGTGGAAATGGGTAGGGGACGGAGAGTAGCAAGCACGGGGAAGCGGGAGGGGGAGCTCGGGTGTGGGAGCCTCCATGAAGTTATTTATAGCAGCCCCGTCATCACAGGCTCTGGCTGCCGTCAGCACCACGCTCCCCCGGCCCCCCACCCCCGCGGCCAGGAATACCATGCCCTCACCCCCTGCCGGCCCCAAATCCAGCTCTGGCGACACAGAGGGGTACAGGGAAAGATGTGACTCACCTTATCCCAACCTCTCTACCTGCCTAATCTCAGGCACAGCCAACTGGGAAAGGGAGGCCAGAGCTCTTCCCTGGGAATGGCTGGGTAGGGGAAGCCCAGAGAACAGAGCAGCAGCAAGAGATCTCCTTCCTCTTTCCTCAGTCCATGGATTAGGCCCAGCCTCTGCCCCCTATTCTGTTACCTGCACACCTGCCCAGCCCTCAATTCCGTAGCTCTGTACTATCCTTTCAAAACCCACTCCCAGGGACCCTGAGCCCTGATCCAGCATCATCAGCTACCCCTCACCGTTTCCGGCCTGCTGCCTCTTAATTTCTGAACCCCCCCCACCAAGTCCTGTTGCTCCCTTCCCTCCGCCCAATGGGCTCTGTCACCACTCTGTCCTCCCCTACAGCTCCTTTGATCCTGGGCTGGAGCCCACCCTTCCCTCAGCTAAAGAGCCCTCCTTGGTTTCACCTTCACCTCCTGCCCTGCCTCTGCAGGGTCTTTCCCAGTAATCGCCTCTCTCCTGCCGCCTCTAGCTCAATCCAGTTCCTCTCTGGTCTGTCTCAGCACCCCAACCAACATGAGCCCCTCAACATTTGATTCACCCCATACTGCTCTCATCTCATCCCAGGCCCTGTACTTACCGGTCATGGTCAGCACTTCGGAATCGAGGCAGGATCTGGCGAAAGCTGCTTGTCCGATCAAGTTTGGGTTGTGACTTCGTACGTTTGATGGAGCTTTTTAGCCGTCGGCTCAGGAAGCCTTGCTGGGGAGCAGATGGGGATAGGGGTGGGCTGGGGCAGGGCAGATTCTACCTAGACATCCCTCAGCTGGCAGAGAATCCCTAGAGGAGGGATGGGAGAGAGGGGACAGGAGCCCCGATACCAGTTTTTCTTCCTTGCTCCCACGGGTGCTGTGTGATGTGAGCAAATACAAACTCACACACTAGCTTGGAGAAGGTGGGAGGGCTGGTCCGAGAAGCAGGGGGCAGAGCCAAGAAGGGGTGAACCAAAGAAGTGGGGATACACACACACACACACACACACACACACACACACACACGCGCACGCACGCGCGCGCGCGCGCGCGCGCTCCCTTTCCCTCCTGCCCCCTTTTCTAAGAATCCTGGCGCTCCAGCTGGGGCTAGAAGGAGGGGGCCCAGCTGAGCCACATCAGGCAGGCACTTCCATTCACTCACCGAGGGCCGGAAGGGCGCAGCGGGGGCGGCCTCCATGCTGTACTGCTTCCCCCCTGGGACACTCTTCCTCCTCGAGCGACCCAAGTGGTATTCTGGAGGGGAGGAAAGGGCCAGAAGGGAATTTGGGGAAGGGGCTGGGGGACTGCTGGCCGAGGTGCATTCTCCACCCCCACCCCCGTGCCCCTCAGCTCCAGCCTCACCTACCCCCCGGAAAGCAGCAAGAAGAACAGCGGCGGCGGAGAGGCTGGCGGTGGGAAGGAGGGGGCAAGGAGCCAGAGCCCCCTGAGGGGGACGGGGTGGGAGGCCTTAAGCCCATGACTGGGGCTGACAGTCAGTAGAGGGGCATGGCCAGAAGGATCAGCAAAATCCCAGTAATGAATACGCAAGATTCAGGGAGGCTAGGTCCCCAGTAGCCACCCCCCCCCAGAGAAGGAGTTTGCTGGGGGGGAGGAGATAGGTTAAAGGTCATTGCCCACGGATGGGCTTCCCTCCTCTCCCAGCTGGGGACATCCTCCACCTGCCCCACACCTCCCAGAACCCCTGTCCGTCTGGAGGTCCAGGGCTGCCTCCCATGACCCCCTCCCCTGGACTGGAGGGGGAGGTCTTAGAAGAGACCTGGGAGGAGTGGCAGGGGGACAGAAAATCCAAGGAAGGGGCAGAGGGGAGGAGAGGAGAAGGAGCCCGTTCCACGTGCACTGCAGTGCCAGGGAAGGGTGCAGAGAAGCAAAGAGCTAGGGGGTGGGCAGGGGGTGCAGAGGATGAGCAAAGGGGTCTGGGGACTCCCAATTAAAGGCTGGTGGTGGGGAGGTGAATGCGGATGAAGCTCAGCCTGCCAAGAGTAGAGGGATGGCAGCTCCGAAGGGGACGCTGACGCTCTGCTGCTAGGGAATTTAGAAGGGCCAAGGGGCTGGAGGAGAATGGAAGTGGGGGGTTGCCAAGCTCCGGCTCCGGCTCCAGAATGGCTGCCCAGGCCTGGGCTCCCCCCTCAGCCCCACAGTCACCACTGCAGCCAATGGGGGGGCAGGTGCTGCATCAGGGGCGGGGCCACCATCCCCATGGCAACAAGAAGCTACAGGCAGGGAGGGAGGGGGCAACCGGAAGAACTGCTTGTTAACCCTCTGGGTTCCAGAACAGAATAGGGAAGGCCACACTACATCTTCACTTTCTCTTTCCAGAATTGCAAATTGCCCTCGAACCAGTTCCCTGCTTCTCTTTATATGCAAACCCGGGACAACACATACAAGTCTGGATCCCAAGACACAAGAACCCTATCAGTCCCTAAGGAACATGTGTGGAGCATAGAACATACACTGCGTTGTGGGGGTACTTGTATGTCAGAGCAATACAAAAAATAAAGAGGGCTCTAGGTGCTTATGAGACATACAGACTGTGAGCACCAGGGCACCAGGGGGCCACATTCTGAGACTCTGACGCTCACACACCCCATATGCTTAGACATATGTGAGCATTGCAACAGGGGAATACATACTTGAACTCAAGACACCCTCATGAGAGCTGCTGGTGTGGACTTTATGCCCCAAGTTCCTTGGGCCATCATGTGGGCAGTTACTACAAAGACGAACATGTAACCCTAAGACAACTCATGTTCCCCATGCAGAGGAATGCCAGTTTCATCCCTGAGATACAGGCTTGAATGCACCACAGTCCCATGCCTCATCCCTGCACCATGTATACACCATGGTCTCAATCAGGTGTCCTGAAAGCAAGAACAGCCATCACATCAGAAGCACAACCACATCCACTGTCTTGGGACAGCGCCCCCGCCCCCCTTCTTTTAGCTTTTTCCTGACTCCAACCACTGGTATCCATGAAGGCAACCAGAAAAACGTAAGAAACAAAACAAAAAAATGAAGAACAAACACGTTAACTGTCCTGTCACAGTAAGCCATGTACCCAAGGCTCCAGGTTATCTCCCTCCTAGTCCGCCCCTCTGCAAGTCTCAGTATGGCTGCCTCACTCTCGTTCAGGGAACCTAGCTCAGCCACTATTTCACACACAAGCTCCTCTAATAAAGGCATAAAAGTCTAAGTTTGAATTCACTGGCATTTTCTTTTGGAACTAAAGCATTAATTGGGGGGGGGGAGATTTGCTCATTGGTTTGCCTGGGTCTTAGAAGCAATACACATATTACCAGGAACTAAGATCTCTGAACTCACAAATAAGTCACAGGTACATGGAGGGTACACATGGATGGACACGGACACACACGCACAGACGTGCTTACAAAGACTCGCTACAAGGAAGGGAACAGCAGCACAGAGGAGGGGGGCATAGGGTGACAGAAACACAGGACATCCTGTTAGTACTGCATGCAGTGGAATACACAAAAAACATAGCACACAGCCACCGGACATGCAGAGCAAACCTGAAAGGCACACAGTGTGATGCTGGGTCTCCATGTCCCATCCCTGCACAATGTATACATGCATGCACACACATAACAGCCACCTACACAGACCAGTAACACAGGCATTGTGCACACACCCACACAGTACACACCCTGTATACACACACAATTGCGTGCGTGCACACACACACACACACACACAGCAAGGGCTAGGATTCTGCCTCTCCAATGTCTCTAATCTTGCCATTACCCACAAAATTTCTACCCTCCACTCCCCAAATCCCTACTCTTCCCTGTGGCCTTCTCCGTGGCTAACTGGCAGCTCTCAAAGGGAGTCAGGGAGAAAAGCAGCTGGAGAACCAACAGGAACTGAGGAGCAGGGCTGTGGAGGGAGCAGAGACAGAGGGGGAGGGGAGCAGGGTCTGCACAGTCCCTGTGGTGACAGGCCTCACCTGGAGCCAGCCCCATGCCTGGATGGCCTCCTGCCATCCAACCAAGCCCATAGACCTGCCTCAGAGCCGCACTAACCTAGGCCCTCCTGCACCACGCCAGTGTCTCAGACACTGCTTTTTATACAGGCCCTGCTCCTGCCTGCCTCCCCTAGGCCCCATCTTGAGCCCATCCTCTTTGCTGTCTTCTAAGTCTGGCTCAGGCTCTCCCACACTCCCCTCCTCAGCTATTCTTTCTCCCTAGCTCTGCTGTCTTGAAGACTCACGGGCCCTACTTTTCCTCTTTACCCCACTCCTTCCCTGCAAGCTTTTATGTCCGCACCTTGGGACTACACAGGGGCTCACACCTGCCTGTCTAAGGTGTTTTCATGCACATCAGATTACAAGGAACACACACCTTCTCCCCATCATCACTGGCACACCACCCACATTCAGACACGCCCTGGACACCCATGCTGGGATTGACACAGTCGGGCCAGTGCAGGAACACACATGCAAAGACACACACCTGCCACCAGGGACACAGAAAATTCTTCTCCGGCGGCCAGTCACACATTCCTACACACAGGGCTGATGGGAGGTGAGTCTCAGCAGGGACATGCATGCTCAGGGTCAGAGGTGACATGAAACAGTAATGGCCACAGACTGCCCCACAGACCCTAAGGCAGGAAACAGGCCGAGCAATACAGGACACGCTTGACCAAGGCTGGTTACACATGTGTGCATGAGGAACTGGGCCCCATGTGCACATGGCACCGACACACAGGGACGGAAGCAGGGACACCATCACACCCGCAAACACCCGGGCTGCCCGTCCAGCAGGGCTCCAAGACCCCCACACGCCTGCCGCCCCCGCGCGCTCGCAACCCTGCCCTCGCCAAGCCGCCCTGACCCCCTCCCTCCGACCTCCGCTGCCCCCCCACCGGTTACCATAACTCCCCCCACTCGGAAGATGCAGCGAGAACATGCGGAGGGAGCAGCTGCCGCCGCCGCCGCCGCTCCCCACCCCCCTCGCCGCGCCCCCGCA